CAAAAGAAATAGTAACAATGATGAAGTTGATAGATGAAGTAAATCTACAATAAGAAGAGAGGGAATGTAAAGGAGGAGAGAGAATGTAAAGGAGGAGAGAGAAGATGGATGGAAGAAAATGAAGAGTTTTTAGTAATTTTGTAGTTTAAATTGATCACATCACCCACTTAATGCCATATCAACACCAAGCCATTCCTTGGTAATGGAGTAACAAGCATGTAGATGGAAAGATGACATTTGATGATGTCAGCACCAGCAAAAGAGCTAATTCGTGGATTTTGTCAAGTAGAGGGGCTAATTTGCACTATTTTTAACTAGAAGGGCTGATATACCAAACAATGGAAGTAGAGGGGCTGAATTCCACCTTATGCCTAGAAAACCCCTCCAAGTAGTCCCTTACCCCCCCTCCCTCCCTCCCTTTTTTGATTTTTTTGTAAATTTGAAGGAGTCTACCCCACTTGTAGAGGGTTTAAAAATTTGCCACTTTTATAAGTTTAGGGGCTTAATCGTTAATTTAGCGTATAAATTTTCTAACCATATCCGTGTTTTAAGTTGAAGCGAGAAAGGGTTGGAAGACACGATTTCCATGTGTGTGTGTGTGTTTTTCTTTTTTTTTTTAAGAACAAAAGATGGCATGGTTAGGGTGTGTACAGTATATTTTAAGATTAATTTTTCTTAAATAGTGCTAAAAAGAAGATTTAATCTTTATGAAATTTGCTTTTGTAATATGTTTGGAGTACTTTTTATTCCTTATAATAATATGTTTTTCATTTTTGTCGATCAAGAAAAAAAAATTATTAAATAACCTAAAACATAGAGCGTTTGCTTTTAAAATTTGAGAACAATTATTAATTATTAATTTTAATTAAATGATTTATATACTTTAAAATTTTAAATTAGAAATAATTATGATTATTATTAATTATCGAATATTAACTATTAATTATATCAAAATAACTAATCCAAATACCCTTATATCTTTGTATTAGTTGAGGCTTAAAATATTATACAAAATGAAAAAAAATGAAATAATAAGAAAAAGGTAATGATATGTGAATAATTTTTTTTTATAATTTTTTATGTAACTTTTATATATTATTAAATGTATAAATATATATAATATTATAATTTTTAATAAAATAGAAAGATTAATCATTAAAAAACATTAAAATTATACTAAAAAATTAATAAAAAAATCATCTGTTACTCCTAATAATTTTCCAAATAAAGATACTCCTACTCTAGTGAGTTGTAACGGACAATTAAATGAAAATAGAAGGAGTAATATAAAAGGAAAAAGTTATGTATTAATTTAGTAAGAAGGTTTTTTTTTTTATATAAAAATAATAATCAGTAAATTAATTTATTAATTATTAATAACTAAAAATTTGATTTTCAAATATGATAAACATCTCACCTCTCTTAATGGGACGTACGATCTATGAAACCGCTAGCTAGAGTTAAATTTAGTAAGAAGTGTTTTTTTTATTTATTTATAAAAATAATAATTAATAAATTAATTTTTATTAATTATTAACAACTAAAAATTTAATTTTCAAGTATGATAAACATTTCACTTCTCTTAATGAGACGTACGATTTATGAAACCGCTAGCTAGAGTTAAATTTAGTAAGAAGTGTTGATAAGGCACATTGCTAATAAAGTAATTACCTTAGGAAAAATATTGCCGAATGATTAGCACTTTTGCACCGTCACGTACCCAAGTAATCACACGATTAGCGTGTACTTAATGTGTCCACTCGCCACGTCTCCACCTCCACTTGCCACACAACGCGTAGCTTAGAATAAGCGAACACGACTCCCAATAATCTCGCTCCCTTGTGCGCACTGCGCACCCCTCCCCTACCCTCCGCGCCTCCGCGGTAAAGCCACCCCACCAAAACTGAATTCCTCCTCCTCCTCCTCCTCCTCGTTCTAGATCTTCGCCGCCTCCGCTTCTCTGGATCTCCTCGGAGAATTCTGCTGTAATCTAACGCAATCCTAACGAAATTTTCCATTGGATTCGCTTCATAATCGTCGTCTGTTACGCCGGATCATGTGAAAGTTTATTTCGATCAGATGGCCTCGATCCGACGAACTCTCTCGC